ATTGCACCATGTTTGAAATTGTGGTGCAATGCAACAAAGCTGGGTGGACAAAGGGGTTTGTGGGCGATTTGGCTGGCCCCCCCCATCCTCCCCAAACTACCCATCGCTTGCAAATAGCATAATGTTGCCCTCAAGCAACATGGAAAACCTGGATTGTGTGGTCAATGTTTCAAGTCCCACTTGAACCAGGAAACTGTAAGACCCCCGCGAGAGGTTGCCACAGACTGGTGGACATGTTGAGGTCCCCGTCCACACCTTTTTGTGGGCCCAGAACCTTGTTCAATGTCAATGATCAAGAAGTTTAAGCCACGGCAAAGGTATCCTCCCATCCACTAAACGGGAGCTTGGCTCCACGTTTGTTTACCCAGGCCCCATGCTTGATTGATCATGGAGGCTGCCCAGGGTTCCCAATTCCACAGCATTTCCCCGGTTCCCCAGAATTTTCCAGGGTTCGCGAGAATTTCCCTAGCTTTCCCCATATTTGAAGGCATGTTTGACGGCTCACCATTCCCTAAATATTGCAAGCAAGGCAATCACATAATCCTGCCGGAACACAATGGTATATGGTACATGGCCCAGTGCTGCTTTTCTGGGCAAATGACTATCTCTGCAAATCACTGAATTCACAACCTGGAACTTATGCAATCCCCAAGTAAGGATGTTTCATCATCATGGATCAAGTCAAAATACCCAGTACCCACAAAACGGCAGGAGTGCAACTTGATCGAGACACTGGCTTGACAAGGAATCTTTGGCACCACTGGCCAAAAAGAGTGGTGTTTCATTTGGTCCAACAAGAGGGAATATCGGAACTTAGGGAGCACTGGCAAAGCAACAAGGTTCTTACATTTTCCACCCCGTCCCCTCCGAAACGAAACAAAATGGTTGTGTCCATTAGTTGCACCCTTGAAAGTAGATGGCACAATTCCCTTGTTGCGAGTGAGTAAAGCGGATGACAAAACCTTTTAAAGACCCCTGAAAAGATTGGTTGCTTTGTTTTTTGAGGGTTCCCTTACGTGGGCTACTTTGCAGTTTGAAACCCATAGCACACCGTCTGGTTTGGGGGTCCAAAGGGATATATGGTGATACCAAAACTCAGCCGGGCCGCGACGTGCCCTTTGCCGTCGCTCGGCAAGGCCTCAAGAAGAATCGCGCGCGGCCAGCCCGCGAGATGGGCAAGCGTCTCTGCCCCTTGGAGGAACCCCATGGTTGGCTTTCCTTCAACCCTTCACAAGCAACCCAAAAGGGGGTTCCACAAAACCAAAGACACCTCGGAAGTTTCAGTTCGGGAATCTGGGGCTGTTTCCTGTGAGTTTTCAGTTGGGACATCCCATTGGAACTGGGCACCGCGAGGCTCAGACCCCTACGCTTTGGGCAGCTTACAAGGTCTGAAGACCTCCGGAGGCCTCTGAAGCGTCCCTTTGAGCTACAAGCGCAAGGGAACCACAGCGTCACAAGGCCATACAACCAGTTGGGGTTGGCACAGGCTTGACATTCAACGGCTGGTTTCCCCCTTCAAGGACACGTCCACGCTATCCTGTACTTCCAAGCCATCACGAATACCCAAAAAAGCCACCAGAAGTTCAACAAAAGGCAACTAAAGAAAGAACGATCCGCCTCAACTGAAAGCACAGGGACCCACATGGCCGGGGCCCCCTCATTCCATCCACAAGGGAAACCAACAAGACCAGCCCAACCCCATTGTCAAGCCCACGGCTGCTGCGGTGGCCCGCCCACGGACCTGCAGGTGTAAGTCAAGATAGGCCTTTGGACCCTAAAAGTTGTGTTTGACTTGCGGATCATTGAGACTTCAGCTAAGAATATTGTTTGGGCAAGGTGCGAACATTTCTGGGTGCGAACAACCATTGAAACATTCTGCCCCCTGCCTTCTGTTGCTCTGACATACGTACAAGCAACATATATTTAAACATGTTCCTGCTTTGAAATCAAGGGGGACAGACAACAACAACCACGGCGCATGTCACACGCGCCCCGAAAAAATGCGAAGGCCCCGCTCACATTCTATCCACTTCCCGAGGTGCTTCTTGGCGACCAGGCAGCTTGGCCTTTGAAGAGTGGGAGGGGATGCATAAACGGGTCGGTCTTTTTTGAGGCTACCCCAAAAACCAGAAGATGAAAGTGATAGAAATATATACAAAAAAAAGCTGTTACGACAGACATGACCTAGAAATAATACTAATTTAAAAAAGGAAAAATGATTCACTCTTCTTGCATCTGTTCTATTTGGATCTTATGGATAGTGAAATAGAGAAATTACATGATGATATGATGCGAGCCAATAAATCTTTATTATAGAAACTCGCCGTTAACTAGCCATAAGCTGTCTCTCGGTAAAATCCAGGATGAAACGAACGGAGACACCTACTTACTGTCTGCCACCGCCTTCCCTCTGCCTCTTGCCAACCGTTCACCGCACACCACAGCCCTTGACTGTTGCCGATGTTGATGATTCTGTAATTATCGACAAGAAGTCATTTCGTTCGAAAGATCCGACTGCCCATTCCGTGCAAATGAGGTGCCATGTGTGCCTTGAGCAAGAGCCTAAGGCAGATGCACTGGGAAAAACCGGTTCTGGAGACACAAAGACTGGATCAGCTGTTGTGATTATCAGGTGTCATGTTTTGACAGGCCCCAAGAGCATCATCTGGCCGAGTGAGTCCTCACAAAACCTGGAACTCAAGGGCCGTACCAAAACCCCTGACAAACCATCGAATGGGCGGCTTTACGCGCTGATTTCTTGGTGGCTTTCACCTTCAACCACCCGACGCGATGTGCGATTTCTGGCTAGAAAATAAACCTTTTGTTTGGGGGGGTTGATCCCTATTTTGCTGGGACACCCAGCAAGCAAAGAGTTGGAGCCGGTTTCAGGGTCGATGCCATTCCTGGGAACCCACTCACCCCAAAAGTTTGGAATCCACTGAAGTGATCTTGCAAACTACCCGCTACCTGCTGGAGGGAAGGGAGTGTGAAGGTTTCCCAGCTCCATTTTAGCCGGTCTTGAACTAGTGACTGAACCCGTGTCACTTAGGTGGAGGCTCGGAGTGTAATCACTGTTGAGGGTTCTTGTTTATCTTGTTTTGCTTGCTTAATCACTCCAACAACCCATCTCAGCCATCCCACTAAGGCCATCCCGCACTTTCCAGGCCAGGGCTAGGTTCAGGGCTTAGGGTTTGGGATTTCAGAGTTTAGTCCATGGGTCCCCGTTTCCTCCCAAAAAGCCGACGCTCTCAAAGCCCGCCGTCCTGCCTAGCGCACCAGACACGTCCCGGTGCTTTTCCGCGTGGCTATGGCGCCATCCTGGCGGAGCTCGCTGGCTCGAGGTGGAGCCGCTTCTCCCACTGGGTTGGCTGTTGCCCGACTGGGTCCATTGAAGCGACAGCCTCAAACGTCGCAAAAGCCAAAGAGCCAGCGCGGCAAAAAAACAATGGGGGAAAAAGAAAGAACAAATTTCGAGAAAATGCAAAAAAAAACAGACGGATAAGATGGCCATCCCAAGCAAAACAGTCCAACTACGTCTCCAACTAGAAAGCATCACCCGGCAAAGAGACCTTTTCCAGGAACTTGGGCGGTCCTTTTGACATGAATGCCTGGATGTGCTGATATATTATGTGCTGTGCATGTTGCTACTATGCAAATAATTAGCGACCCAACTTTGCGATGGGCCTTCGCCAAATGGTGGGGGGTCAAAACCACCTTTGATGAAGGAATTTGTTTGGAACCTCTGGTTGGAAAAAAAGCGGCCCCAAAACAGGTACCGGGAAGAAAGAAAACACCCAAATCAACGACCACAACATGAATGCCCTTGTTATCCGCATGGAGCACAAAACCAGTTGCAAGTTTCCCTGCATAACGACCCAGCATTAAATCACCCTTGGTTATCAACCCATCTCAGATGAATACTTGCACTCTGTTTGGCGGGCAGCGGGGAGCGCCACCCAACTAATCCAACGAGATTGAGATATCCGGGAACGACACTAGGCACAAGGGGGTCACTATAAGAATCATTCATGTGCGGGGTGGGGAGTTGCTCAAGTGGAGTCTGTTCACCCCCTCTTTCCCCCCGGTCCCAACATGCGAAATAGGCACCCATAGAGTCCGTTCAGCCCCCCCAACATGCGAAACAGGCATCCAACATCCTTTGCCCTCAACAAAAGTCCCTCCCACCGACATGCGGCTCCCCTATCAAGACACAAAATCGGGGGGGGGGGGGGGGACCACCTCAACCACCCGTCCGATGGCCTCCGTCCAAGTCTTCGGCCAGCTCCGAGCCCTCCCGCGCAGCCTGGCAGGGATCAACCGGTGAATGCAAGGGGCCCAAAGTCTCGCGGAACTGGGGGCGAACTGAGCGGGGGGGCAACTCCTTTGCTAGCCTCTTAATAAGGCCAGGGCTTCTCCCTGGCTTCTCGGCATGATTGGGTTTTGAAAGAATGAACCGGTTTGGTAAAAACCAACGCGGGGATGGTTTTCTTTAGGGGTCATTGCATTTGATGAAGCTATCTGTTCACGTTCTTTTCAAGAAACTGGCCGTATTCCCTGGGTTTCTGGAGTTTTCTAGAAAGAAGGACCCCTGGAAAGAATGGGGAAGGTACCCCTAGATTTTTGTGATAGTCTGAGGTTGACCCCCGGTGCACCGCTTCTTAGTTGCAGGCTCCTTGTTTCGTGCGGAACTCACCAGATTGACACCCTCCCACCGACTATAACCTGACTGCTTTCTGGCTCCATTTTCCAATTCAAGGGACCTTCTGGTGACTTCCAAGTTCGTGGGAGACAACTGGATTTGTCTACAAAAAGAAGAAAAAACGGAAAAAGTGTGGCTCGTTGTTCGTTACTTTAGTTCCCCTTTCAAATTAACCCCAAACTGGGTACCCGCTAAAGACACCCCGATTGGTGGGTTTGCTGACTCAGCGGCCCGGGCCAGTGACAGCGACAGCAGCGGCACCAGCAACCAGGCCCCTCTCCTAAAAACGTCACGAAGGCGGGTCGGCGGGTCTCCGCATGAGCCCTGTTTCGTATTGGTTTCCCTTTAGCCCCGGTTTCCCTTTAGCCCTAGAAATTAGAAGCAATTGGCGGTCCGTTCTCTTGATTCTTGTCCATGGGTTTGGGTACACAGCTTCTTCAGATTGTTAATATGACCGCTGTAAACAAAGAGTCTCTTTGGTCAATCAAAAGGGAAGGACTGGGCAAAGATGTTTGTTCGTCCAAATGCATCTACGAAACTTGGAGGGAAGCATGTGACTCACACCTAAGTTGCTAGTCTATGGGTTGGATTTCTGGGACGCTCTCTGGTGGGAGCATTCATCAACATCACCGGCTTGAGGTACCTTCAAGCTTGGGTCGCTTTTCGATCCAGAAAATCCCGACTCAAGTCCGAGTCAAGCAGCTGGAGTTGAACCAGCTTCTCGCGAGCAAAGCATTCCCTACATGGGGGAATGGCCCTATTCATCAACAGGTCCACTACCCGAAAGCATTCTCGTCACACTAGAAAATACCTGGCCCAGCGTGAGGTTGGAACACGACTGCAAACCAAACACAAACAAAGCAAACACGTGCCTCTCCCCCCCCTCCTGCCCGCAGCCCACATCCGAGCGCCCCACATGGACTGGATCTGGCGCCCAACATGGACTGGATCTGGACAAACCACTTAGAAACTGAGCCAAGCAGCAGGTCCGAGCTGAGGAAAACACCCATCCCATCTGCCATGGAACCCGACTGCGGTCCTGGCAAACCATGTTATCCTCGTGGAGGCCACATGTTGGGGCACTGTCATCAAAGTTTGGTGCTAAAGGGTCTGACCCAAACCTTGCCCGCATGGCTGGGACAACTTGAATTTGGAGCACTTCCAGGATACCAGGGAACCTCCCCCCCTTTCGAACGTCATCAAGGCGAAGCCCTTCCTAGCGATCCGGTGCATTGGTTGAGAATCCCAAGGACATAACCCTAGGGGTTTCACGTGTAAACCCAATAGAGGCCCTCTGGGTTTGAGTCCCTAGGGTTGCCGACATACTGTTGATGGACGAAATCCATGTCGCACCACCTAAAAAACCATAACGCTTGTTGGTATTTACCCAAGAACCGGGGGGAATCATTCCAGGGGCGGTTGAAGCAAATGTTATGCATTGTCCAACCTGGGAATCGTTTTGGTCCCCTCAAATGCTTGGTATCCTTTTGATGTCCAGTTGCATACCCACCAAGACAGATCCACCATTTTGAGGAACTGCCACATGGGCTTGGAAGGACAATCAAGAGCAAGACCTGCGGGTATGGAAGTTGTTTTTTTTCTTCGGTTTCGCTAACTTTTGCGGGAATTTGTTTTTCACACCCGAGTGAGGAGGTTTCAACAATGCCCGTTGAAGTTGGCTCAAAATTGGATCGAGGATTAGTAGGAGTAGAAGCGGCCAAACTGCTTCCATGTGTTTTCTGGTTCAGGTCAGACATGGGTTGAGGCTGGCTTGGCCAGGCGACAAATGAGAAGTCTCTTGCATCGCTGGGCGAAGGGGCGCGCTCTTTCTCACAGCTCGCTATTCTCGCGACACACGGAGACCACTGCAGCCAGATCCGCGGATGCATGGACCTCACACAAGCCAAGAATCGCACTCATTGCCTTTCGATCCTCGGCGAAATACCGAGGTACCCCAAAACACAAAGCAGTTTCAAGTGGCCGCTTGACTTTCCAACCGAAACGGGTGTCAAATGGCCAACCCTGATCTGGAAGGGGCAAATGAAGCTCAGGCATGCGGGGTTTCTGAAACCACAAACATCTCCCATCACCCATTTCAATTGGGCCTAGTGTTTGGCATCCTTTTGGGTCCTTTCTCTCTGAGGTCTTTCCCCCCAGTACAACAGCAATACGTTCCCCCTAAACCAAGCCTAAAACGGAAACGCACCAGATCAGCGACGCATCGCGGACAACCAACAGGTGAGCTTCAAGGCTCAAAGCCGCTGCGGTGCTTAGGACCGGATTACCAAACGGTTTGGTTTGACCTGCCCATGCTTTATTTCTCTTAAGGGAACATGTCTGGGGAAGGGAAGCGGCATTCCCTCCCTCCACAAATGGGTGTGGTTCCAACGCTCAAAAGCTCGGATTGCAACATATAGGGATTACCCAAAGATGGTACCCTCAAAAGGACGCTGCCAGACAGGCTCCTGCACCCGAACTGAAACCTCCGGTGTTGGAACCTCACGAATTCCCCTTGCCAATCTATGCAAACAAAGACGAAGAGGCATTGAATGAACAAACACCAACAAGCCAACAAACCACTGCACTGCTAAAATGATGTCCTTTTTGGGGTGGTATGTTCAGACCAACCCAAAACAAACCCAAAGCAATCCGATGCCGCGAGCAGTGAGGCGATCCGAGCCGGACATCTCGACACAGCTGTTGGCCTCTGAGGTGAAATACCTTGAGCCCAGCTCCTCCACGTACCTGGCAAAGTTTGCCCTTTCTGCCCAGAAAGGCCTTCGAGCCCTTGCGTCAAAATGAAAAAAAACTGTGCATTAAAATCGTCGATCCCCAGAACCATGCTTCAAGAATCAAGAAGGCGGCGAAGGCACCCCGTTTAAAACGTTGCGACTATCCCTTGCTAACCGAGTCATCTACCCGGGCTTTGATTGTGGCTCTCTTGGAGATACCTTGTTTGTCGATATTCGGCACCCATGGGCTGCAAATTCATTGATCTGTTGTCGTACAGGCGTGTCTTCGGAAATAAATCGAAGTGGGGTCCCTAGCATTGTGCCTTCGCAATCCTAACTACTTTGCTTCAGGCTCGAGCAATCTCACCCCTCGATTTATGTCTGCGTTTGGGGCGCAGATAGCCCCAAACGCAAACATAAATCGAACGCTTCATTTCCTGGACCTCAAAATTGACAAGGAGCCCTGGTTTCAGATACCTGGGTAACCCAATACCTACAAAATCACAACCCATGTGTTGTGGGTTTTGCGACTACCAAAACAGGCATGCTTGTGGTCTGCTGAAAACGGCCTCTAGGATTCGCGCCTGGCAGACTCCTCTTTGGGTCCCAGCGCAAGCACCTGAAGCCAGTGACTCCCATCCCGTTGGGATACATGGCGGCAGTCCCCCCCCACTTTGCCCTGAGGTGGCAGTGGTATTGGGGGTCTTGGGGGTAGTGGTTTGGGGGGCAGTGGTGTTGGGGGTAGTGGTTTGGGCGTATACATGTGTATATATATATATATTAGTTTGGGGGTAGTTGATTAGGGGATCGTGGAAACCATCTTGGAGGAAAGGAACCACCTGCGACTCTGGTCGCACCAGGCGTCAACCAAACCTGGCAAATGGGTCGACACAAAAGAGTCCCGGAGATACGCGCCGAACTTTGCGGCAATGACTGTCCCTACTATCCTACAATTTCCCCGGTGTTTGAGTCAACTGAGTTTGTGGTTCTAAGTAGGTGTAGGGGGCCTCACTATCATTCCCACCGAAGGGAGCAGAATCTGAAAACACCCACGATTCCCTTTGCTTCCTGTTGAGTTACTTGCATGCGATTGGCATGCGTGTGTGTACAACTGGTACATGGGGATCTAAGCCAACCCACCAATCTTGACGAGCATTCCGGTTCAAATCTGTAGCCATCTTTTCTCCCTCAAACATCCACGCGAAAGGAAAGGGTTGAAAAAGGAGAAGAAAAAAATAGGAAAACCTGGGGAGCCCCCTTGAGACTTCCCAGAATGGGTTTGTTGCAGACCAAAAAAGGTACATCCCGCTACCCTACAAGGGAAGGGGCGGCAACATCCCAAATCTTAGTATTCTTTATTTGCCTGGTCTTCCCCAAAGGGAAAATGGAGCACATCCAACTTCCATCGAAATCTTGCGCCCGACCAGAATCGACCCCCCCCCCTCCACACAAAACAATTGCGAAAAGGAAACCAACTAAAAGAAACAAGTTGTTTCCTTTGGGTGTGTCATGTTTTGTGGGTACCTCCTTTTGCGGCTTTAAAGGGTAACCAACAGGAAACCACCAATATGCGGGGGGGGGGGGGGGGGGGCCTGACAAACGACACGCCCCGCTTCAACTCCGGGCGCCGCGCCACTGCCCCCGCCTGCACAGCTCCGGCTTCCACAAGCTCCTCGGTCGATGCATGGTTCGAACCCTTGGGGTTTAGGGCTTCGGGTCGCTTCTGGAAACGTCTGGTGGCAACGCTTCCTAATCTGGGACCCCACACCGCCGAGTAGTTGAAAACCCAAAACTTCCCAATATTGCTCTTTTGGGAGTTGGAAATGGCAAGGGCCGAGCTTCGGAGCAACGACGCGCAAACTTCGGCCACTCCTCCCTGGCACCTTATCGGAACCCGGTTTCGCAGGGCTGGAGAGGTGCTCGATCTGTGTGTGTCTCACTCCGCAAGCACAGCAGGTCGGTTCCATGAAAGTTCACAGGAGCAAATGCCCCCTTCGAACATGCAATCACCAATGGGAAACGCACATGTGCCAGGGACAAAGGCGATGTGCGAAGGATCAACTGAAAAATATGGGTAGGTCGCACCAAAATGCGGGGACCGCAACAATGGGTTCGCTTCCTTTGGGTTTCCCTTTGACATCCAAAACAAAAAAACTCTTTAAAAAAAAAAGAAAGATGCCCATGTAAGAATCCTGGTTTGAGAAAGCTCAGGGCAAATCCAGCACTGTCGCCTACTACCCGCGAAAGACGGTTCCCAGCGTCCCGGGGCCACGGTGCTCAGGGTGGCGATGTGCTTCTGCACCGTCGTAGATGCCAAGCCGCACCCCGCATTTCTCCAGGCTTCAAGCCTTGTGCAAGTAATGCTCGGCAACCGGCGCCGCGAAACACCATGGTAGCACTGCTGTCAGGGCTCAGCGACTTCGGACCATGCGAAATCGGAGCGCTTGATCTGATCAGCCAAGGTCCTTTTCCAAGGCCTGAGTGCTCCGCCAGCTCCGAAAGGAGACCCTCCATGCGCTGCCATGACCCACAGGCTTCAGCTGGGAACCTGAATTCATGCATAACGCGGCCATCAGATGGTGTAAACAACCTTTGCTGGGGGAAAGAAATGCCCTTTGAGGCTACCCGCGACTAAAAAGCTATCTTCACGCTCGGACGTGTCTGCCTAGGTACGGCCAATCCATGCGATCTGCCCCACGCCCCTCAGGGGTGTCTTGGGGCTGTTGGGAACGCAGCTCCTGCCACTTGCGTTTGCGTTTTTTTCCGAAGCCTAAACCCTAAAAACCCTGAAAAAGACTCAACCTAGAAGGACATAGAAGGCCGACCCCCAGACCTAAACCTAAACCTAAGCCTAAACCCTGGAAAGCCTAACCCTAAACCCCAAAAAATATACAACCCATAAACCTAAACCCTAAAAGCCCAGAAAACACTAAACAGCGAAACCCACTTAAACCCCCTAAACCTAAACCCTACACCCCCAACCCAAACCCCAAATAAACCAAATCCTAAACCCTAACCGTGACCCGCAGAAGACCTCACAGCTGACTTGGCAAAACAATTGAGGCGGATCCCATGGATTGCTAACAAAAGTGGCTTCTTTGCTTGGACCACGCAAGCAAAATGGGTGCCAAGGCAAGCTCGACTCGAACAGAAAGCAGAAAGCACGCACCCAGACTTGAGTTCAGCTGCTAATTCATCTCCAAATCGTCCAGGGTCGTCCCAAACCCCTCATACCTGCTGGACATCCAAAGCCAAACACAACAGGGCACAGAACGTGGCGTTTGGAACAAAGCCAAAGAATAGCAATCCTCTTCGGGCTTCCTTAGGGCAAAGTCAAAATCATGGAGGTCTCTCCAAATGATGGTCTCTTTTTTTGTTGGTGGCCAAGGAAACCCAAGGAAGCAAAGCTGCTTTCTTGTTCGTTTCTTGTTCTTCTTTTTTTTTTGGGGGGGGGGAGGGATTTTGGGGGGAACCTGCCTGTTTTCCCCTTTCAACCAAGCTGAAAAGGGCACCTTTCAAAAGGCACGAGGCATCCGATTGGCGGCCGTCCTGCGCTTGCTCGGCTTGGCTCCAGCCCTCACCTGCGCTTGCTCGGTTGGCGGCTGCCTTGGTGGCTCTCCTTTTTTGGTGGGGAAAGCTCCAATCCAACTATTCCTGTCGCAACCTATGCAATTACAACCAGGTCCTCTAGGAGAGAGGTTCGAAAAAGGGTACCATTTTTTATGTAGTCTACTTAAGTAGGGGAACCCTCCCCGGAAAAATAAAGGTAAAAGGGCACTACTGGGGGACCTAGTATGTCACTATAGTATAGTATGATGAGTAAGTGCCACTTCCATGTTTCACAGGAGTTTTCAAAATGCGGGCCGCACTTTCTGTCACCAGGGCTCCAAAAAGGAACATCTGACAATGGGCGATGTGTGACTTTTTCTGAGCCTCCATTGGACACCCCGGACCCGTGTCTGAAAACTTGGCGTGCACAAAGCAATCGAAAGCTGGGGGCATGGTTTCTTTTACCGGTCCCCCGTGTTGCACGGCGATCCCGCAGTGTTTCTGCGATTCCTAGCCTCTCATTTGAGACTTCCACAAAACATCGTCCTAGCCGGTCAAAAAAGGTAGGCTTTCCATCAGTTACCAGACGCCCCCGGGTTCTCAACCTGACATGGCTGGGTCTCGGAGAGAAACCAAGAGCAGTTCTCGCTCGCTTGGAAGTTTCCAGGGAACTTGGGGAGTCCTGCGAGCTTCCCAGCCAACTCCCCCCCCCCTCGGGAAAAGAGTTGAAAGTCCTCCTTTCCCCTTCGTCCGTGCGGGCTCACCCCGCCAAACCCCAGCTGCCCACTGAATACTCACCTGCCGCCAGGAAATCAAAGACTCACCTTCTGGGGCCAGGACTGGAAATAGACCAAACAGGGGAAACCAAAAGGGCGAAGAGGTCGATTTGCTTTGCGCAAGATTAGGAGAAAAAAGGACGGACGAGAGCTGGACGCGGGACCCGTAATCGGACCGATAACTCGGACCGAAACCCGTCGGCTTCCTTGCAGCACCACCAGATCAAAGGAGGGCAGCTCGTAGGCCTCGCGCTCGGCTCCACTCGCTTCAGAGTCTGGAATGGCCTGTTTGGAGCTGCAACCCCCCTGCTAAATGGGGTCCAGTGTACAGGGAAACCAAGAGGAAAACCGGAAAATCTGGTGGGGGTTTTGACACGCATAGAGAAAGTCAACCAACCAACCAAAGGCAAAAAGTCGACTAACCCACCAAAAGCAATGACCCCTGGTTGAGCACGCCGGGAAAATGATTTGATGCCTCAGCATCTATTTGTTTTCGCCAACCGCATCCGAACACCTCCTAACTTGCACAAATGGGTGCGTCTTTTCTTGGGGGACCCCCGAAATGGTGGTTGTTCTTTTGGAATCCCTTTAAAACCACCAAAAAAAGCACCCTTAAAAAAAGGGCACACTCATATGGCTCTGGATTTTCCAGGGCTCTCAGTCCGCTTGTGTGGCTCCAGTCTTCAGGGCATTTCCGACATCTGGGTGTGTTTTGTTTTTGCGAGTACCCCCTTGTTAGCGGGCTTAAAGGAAAGCCAAAGGAAAACCACCAATTTGAAGGGAGGGGGGGGGGTCCGCCAAAAAAAAGACACCCATGTCGTTGCCTGTTCAGGTTGCCAAGGAAGATAGGGTTGAATATGGACACGGTGAGACCCTGGTAAGGATCAAAGGCTCCTCGTGCGGGCCTGAGACGGGTGAATATCCATGGTAAGAGCTCCTTTGGGTCATGGTCCTTGGATGTGCTTGACAATGTCAAGAGAAAAGAGCGCGTGCCCTGTGTGGTTGACGTCTCAAGCAAAGTTCAAAGCCCTCTCAAGACACTGAAAGATGAGCTTGTGGTACGTTCGTTCCTGCCTGGTATGGCCAAAAACACAAAGTGGGTGCCCCAGGAAACCACAGTGTATGGTTTTCAGAGGGGACCCCAAATTTGGGTTCTATTGGATTTGTGTTGAAAGGAAAACCCAAATCAGCTGCATGGTGAGAGGGGAAAGGTAGATAGGGGGTTTACTTTTGGCTTCCTTTTGATCCAAGAAGGGGGCCCCCTATTGTAAGACACCCCCATATCTTCCTGCCTTGTATTGTGGAAGACTATTTCTGTCTTGAAGGGCTTCTCTGTGTGAATCCCTTCAGTGGACTTGTATCCAGGGGTTGGGGTGGGGGAGTGGGGGGGGGGGTTCGTGGGTTGCGGTCCGGTTTTGGTGTGGACATTCAGCCGTTCAGACAAACAAGCGGCGGAGGCCTTTTCTTCTCCAAGTGGGTGGGGGAGTTCACCGCCAAAAAGCGAGCCCGCCCGTGCTTTCCCAGCGAGAAAGGAGGTCTTTTGCACGCGGATCCCTGTTGAAGCTTTTGCAGTTGCACATCCGTGGACCTTGCCGCATGCCGCTCGCTTCAGCATTTGGCCCAGACCCGAGAGCTGAGCACCGAGAGTCCGTATCGCCATCTTTCCAGAAGGCACTCAAACGACACTGGCAGACTTGCAGACTTGCAGACTGGCAGGCGCAGGTTGACTAGACTGACTTCACATGAGAACAAAAACGTCACCTGGTGTCGTGTTTTTGGAACACGCGGAAGCGATGCTAGTAGACCGTGACTGGCAAGCGGTCGTTTTCTAGCTGAGGGCTTATCTGTTCGAAGGCCGAAGAAGGTTTGAGATTGGCAATGGGAGGGACAGCTCCCCAAGACTTCGCCTTTTCTTCCTCCAGGCCATCTAGACACGCAAGAGGCGAACGAGGCTGCCAACGTTGAGTTGCATCGCTCCCACAAACGGAAGCGAGGAGTTGGGTGGTTCAAAATCGGATCAAACTCCTCCTCCGTCTCTTGCTGGAAATCAAACAAAATAGTTTTGAGCCCAAAACGGGGGGACTGTCCGATTGGTTTCCCCTTGAACCAACCCTGGGGTACTTCCAAAAACCACTTCCAGGCCATCGCGAGCCTCTCGCAGCGTCTCCAGGAGTTCCGTCAACGTGGTGTCGGTTCCCAGCAGCAATGGGAGGTGCCTCTGAGGGACAATCGGGGCACGTTGCTCCCCTCTGACTGGTGCAAAACAGTGTCCATCCACAGTAGGATTGGTTTTAGAGTGGGCTTTGGGCTCAGGGTGGATTTCGGATGGATTTTGTGTACTTGGGTGGGTGTCGGTTCGTTTGGGGTCCTTTTTAGGTTTGTGGATGGGAGTTGGATCCGCTCGGGTCGGGACTACAGTGGGTTCAAGCCGACCCTTGCGTACTTCAAACATGGCTGTGCTCCGAACATTGTGGACCCCAGCTTTTATTTCATTGTATTTGTTTTATTACTTCTTCTTTTTTTAGGGGGGGAGGAGGGCGATCGCCCGAAATGTGTTCCTTTTCAACCGCAGAGCTGCAGATCCCAGAAAAGGGCAGGGGCAATGGGGCCATCCCCTCGCCTCACATCTTCTCGCTCTCCCAGGGCGTGACTCAGCAGCTGCGCGCCTGGACCAAATCGCGGGGGGGCGCATCTCGGCCCAAAGTTTGCCCTAAGGAAATCGCCGAGGGGGACCCTGACTGCGAATTGCCCAAAAAGGCGAAACCAAAAGGTGGCTTTGGGAGAAGTGAGCAACATGAATGAAATTCACAAAATGAACATGCACTGCTCATATGGATATACAGACGGGGCTGGAAGTGGCTTAAAACCGTTCAGAACTACAGTGGATGCCCCAACTATTGCAAGCAAGCCAACCACACTTGAAAACAAAACCATGGGATGTTGCGATAAAATCGGAGATGTCCTCGTTCCCTTGCTTGCAATATCTGCATCGTCCTCGTGGGCAATGCACATGCTGATTGCCGATGCAAAGTCTAAAGTGTACTTTATTAGGTATCCAGCTGGATAGGAAGCTAGCAAGTTTGTGAGTTTGCTGAGTTTAGCAAGAGCTGATTGATTGGTTATTCTGTTAGTCAGTTATTTAAGTAGTTAGTTGGCTCGACCAGAAATTGTGCTAGCTCGGAAAGTAGGCGGTCGGCTTGCTACTTTGGCATCAACTGTTTAAGTAATTATTTGTTCATAGCATAGTCAGTTTATCAGTCAGCTAATGTGTCAGCTGGTGAGTCAGCTAGATAGTTAGCTGGTCGGCTGGCAAGTGAATTGGCTCATTCGTTTGCTGCAAGTAATCGGTCAATTAGCTGGCTAGCTAGGTCAGGCTGTCAATCGGTTCGATAGTTGTTGAAATTCATTCCGTTGCGGTGGTTCATGAACTCGCCAGCTAGTTTGTCAAGTAGCTGGTTGGCCAGATAGCCAGTTCGCTAGCTAGCTGACTAGCTTCGTTGGTAGCACTAGTTAGCTAGCTCAGTAGTTGGCTAGCTAGCTCAAACAACTTAGCTAGATAGCTACCTGACTGATTGGGCGATGAGCTGCTTCGCTGCTCTGCCCAACCGCTTCGCTCTAGTTGGCTAGCCGGGTAGTCAAGCTGTCCATGCGTTGAATATGTTCAAGTTTGTCGCAACACCTCCTGGATTTCTCGAGAGTTTATAGAAAAGAAGGAATCCTGGAAAAGAATGAAGAAGCTACCCCTAGAAGCTAGCTCGCCAATCACCCGGCTGAGACTGCTTAGCTAGCAAGCCAATTAGCTGGTTCAGGCACTGGTTAGCTTAGCAGGTGACTCAGTTAAACAGCTAGATGGCCGGTCAGCTGATAAGCTGCTTCGTTGCTTAACTACCTAGCCCAATAGCCTTAGCTAGCCAGCTAGCCCAAAAATCGCTTCTTCATGGGGGCATGTTACGCCATTGGGTCTTGAACTAGCTACATAACTACGTAAGCTGGTTGCCTAGCTGGCAAATCCGCTTGGCAACTTCGCTGGCTCGCCAGTTCGCGCATGTGGCTAGTCAGCTAGCTACTAAGCTAGCCTAGTGCAACTTGGCTACTTAACCAGGTCATGAACTAGCTATCTACCTTGACCAGTTGGCTAGATGGCTCATTAGCTAGTTGGCTGCACACAAGCAAACATAGAGGCAAATCACAACACTGCGAGGCAAAGTAAAACAATTCAAAACAAACAAAACAAACTAATCGTTGGGGATGGCCTGACAGTCAGAGATAACTGTTCGGCAGCAAACTGAAACGTCAATGCCGTTCAAAGCCCTCGACCCCACAAAGCTTCGAGTCTCCCATTCAACTGGGTCCTTTCAAGACACGCCCCCCAAAAGTACTTTCGAGATCCCCTAAATTTAACATGCCCACCGTCTTTTCCGGCAAAACAAGGGGACCACTTCTTGGGAGTAATTTTGAGAACCCCCCCAAGTAGTAGCCCTGGCTATAGGGTATATCTCAGTTGCCATGGTGGTCAGTCCCCTGCAATGGGCCCCGGACCCAGCCGCCCCTCTGCCTGTGTCGGAGAGGTGCGGGTCCTCTTCCACGCTCACCACCTGCGGGAAAGAAAAAATTATCCGAAGCAACTTGGGCAAATGTGCGGTTTGGTTCGCCCTTCAACCATGGAAGCTGAAAGGAAAGTGTAGGAAGACTACTTGCCTTTTGGTGAACCTCCCAGTCCATTTTCATGATGGGTTGGAGAAAGGGTGAGTGGCAGCCTTTGGTGGGCAGCATGCTCATATTTGGTTGAAGCTATTCCCAGCAACGGTGATTGAAGCTGTCCGTACAAAGTCCCCCAGACTTAGTTCCCCGTGCTCCCAAATTATAAAGGCCTTAGCATTTCACCCATATAAAATCAGTAGTAGATCCTAGTCAACTGTCTTTTGGGACCCAGAAATTGGATATTTTGTTGTTTTAGTTGTCCAATAAAAGACCACCAAAAAGGAAACACCGACTCCAAAAAAGAAACACCCGCATCGCACCAGAGAAACAACGAGCCACTCGAATTTCCACCATGCCGGGGCCCGTGACCCGAACTGGGCATCTGGCAAAAAGTTCGGTCAACTGCGATCGGAAAATTGAGATCTGAGACGTCTGAGCTTGTTTACACGTGCACAGGCAGAAAGTCCGAGCAGGTGCTTTACAGACAAGTGCTTGATTGGTACCATGTATAGCTCCATATAGCTCCATTCTAGCCAGTATTGTTGGGGGTTGTGCCATCACTGAAAATTGAACCGAGCGGAAACAAAAGGCTACAAAGTTTGTCCGTATAGGCGGTTACTCACCCCTCGCAAAATGATCTCGAGGGGGTGCACCAACCACGCTTCACAACAGCTTTCCATACCATGACAGGATTTGCTCCTACCACGACTCGGAATCAATTTTCTTACTACTAGAAAAATCATAACAGGGCAGGTCAAGAATCCCTCCTTTTCAGAGACACATCATTGACCTGATTTGGCTTGAACGTACCCCACCAACCCATTAAGGTTTCTGCATGCCCAACATCAGCTTAAAAGGCAACGCCTCAGCAGCAGCTGCCCGCAGCAACTGCGGCAGCACCCTGCGAACCCGCTCCCCCCAAACCAGGCACAAAGAAAGTACAGTTGGCACTGCAACACTACCCTCCTGTCCACTAACCATGGAACCCACCACAGGGTACCTTTCAAAGGAAAATCGTCTTCCAAGATCCCCCTGTCTTGCGGTGCAAAGACATGAAGCCTTGAAAAGAACACTGCTGATTCTGTGAACAGTCCCAAAACCGGAACCAACAAAGGGAATGCCCAAAAGTCTACCGTTCTCCTGATCACCCTGTGTAAATCCAAAGAAGACTTTGAGGATGGACAAGTCTGACCCCACCATCTGCAACAAGCCCGGAAACCATGTTGGGCAAAGCTCGTAACCATCCAGTCGAACTTGTTCAAACCCAGTGCGGTTTGGTGGTGGAAACCACCTTTGGCCTTGCGGAAGATGAGCCGTGGCTCCCATCCAAACCGGTCTCGCTTGAAAAGGGGGCGATATTCTCCCAGGGCATCACCGAAAGCAGCAACATCAAACCTCCTACTTTGCACCTGGGCCGAAACGAAATCCAATGAGGCTGCTAGTTATCAAGAAGGTATTTTCTCCCAAGTTCTGCGAACACAGGACACCTGAGCCGTTGACATGTGTCCGACCCGCCGTCCGAGCGTGACAGGTGAACACACATCAGGCACCCAAGAAAGGTGTACCACTGGATGGCATGCACTTAGGTGGCGGCTTTGACCAGGGCTGTCTTTGGCAAAACAGCGTGAAGCGCCTTGGGCCTCTGCGCCTTTCCGGATTTTCTTCTGAAAGGAAACTGGCCGAACTGCGCAAAATGCATGGGGTGTCTTTGGAACCCCGAAATTGGGTGCTCCCAAGAAAACTAGATTTCAGGGTTGCCTACATTGGCCTGTGGGTGTATTTTTTTGACAAAACCCCTTGCGGTTAAAGGAAAGCAAAAGCAGAGCCACTATCTTGCTGGTCCAAACCCTATGATTTTGATAGACATACGCGTATAAAACAGAATCTGATAATCGGACTTCTTCCAGATTTACAAAATCCGAACATCTGAAAACCCGAACTTTCTGCGGATCCAAGTTTTTTTCGCTCAAGACTCCCGGATCTATACCTGAACCTCCGGAAAACTCTTAACTTTTTCTGGTTCCAATGACAGAAGTTGGCTCAAGTCGGCCTGAGCTCGAAGCCGCAGAGGCGGCTGCCCAGCACCAGCACCCGCAGCCTGGGTCGCTGCGCCGGATGTTCTCCAGCGAAAGGCTTGCAACTGACTTCACTAAAACGGATCGCCACTTTTGGCCCGGCCATGGGAACGCGATCTTAGTGGACCTCCTGAGGGTTGAGTTTGATGGGCTGTTTTCTTTGAGGGCACGTTTTGGGAGGAACATCCCCCTAAAACGGGGTTGGGTCAACATTAAGCATCATTCCACCAAAAGGAAACTCACTTTCAACTGACCCAAAACGCGATGTTTGAAGCTACCAAAAGGGGAAATATAGGGACTGTTAAAGTGAGCCAAAGGCAACCCTTGACCCAAAGCGACATGGGCCAGAAAACTTGGGTTGGGGCTCCGAGAAAAAAGAAACGGAGGCAGTTTGAGGAGCTCTCGAAACACTTTTGGCGGCAGCTGTGTCCAACTACTAGAGGGTACTTGCCACGGTACTTGCACTTGAATGGGCCCAACAAAGGGCCCGAAGCATCTGCCTTGTGCTGGTTGAAAGGGTTTACACACAAGGGAAAGCCCTGAAACGTCGACCTTTGGAAGGATGCCTTACAAGGAAACCACAGGATTCCACATCTTATTTGGAGACCAGACTGTTCCGGTTGAAACAGTCGGTCAACCAAGAGGTGTTTACTTCCTGGGTGTCGTTTGAGCAACCTAACCTGTGCATGTACAAAAGCTTCCGAGCAGGCCAAACTTGGAACACCCCAAGGTCCAAAGACCGTGCCTGAAATAGAATCGGCTCTCGGGAGAGCCGTCAACCAGAATCCACTGAAACCAGAGTGAGCTTGATGTAAGTGACAAGTCTGGCTGAAATGGCCAGGGCCTGTTTCGTTCCCACCCCAAAAGCCGTACACACCCACAAACTGAGTTCCCAAAAGTGTCCCTCGCCAAAAGCAGGATGCTTGTACTGGGCCCCTAGGAGCACATGAACAAATTGGGGTAAACAAAATCCGTTCAGGTCTAACCAAATTCCAAAAAAAGTGGAGTTGAAAACGATCAAACCTTTCTTCTTCTTGGAATTGACCTATGAACTAATTTGGGTTACTTCCGTTTGGGGGTAACCAAAGAATGGAGTTGTTGAAAAAATCAAACCTTTTGTTTCTTGGAATTGACCTTTGGAATTCCCATTTGGCTAGTTGCGTTTGAGGGAACCAAGAGAAAACCAGCAAGAGAACCTCCGCCGGCCTGCGCAGAGGCGCATCTTTGGGCTGCTTGGGCGACGGCGCCTGGATTCACCCTGAGACCTCCTACCCCTGTCCCCCAAAATAGGACGAATAAGTTGCAATTCGTTGGCAGTGCCTTTTTGGAGTTGGTGCCCCTTTTGGGATGGTTCAAACGGGAAACCCAGAGGAAAACCATCATTTTGGGGGGTGCCCTACAAAAAGACGCACCCATTAAGGTTAACAAAGGGATCCGCTCTGAACAGAGGGATTTCTTCTGGCCGGAATTGATTGCTCTATGATACGACTTAGTGGTTGATTCCAACCATGACTGATATTCACAGAGAGTGCTTCGCTTGACAAAAAGTGGCCACCCAAAACCTTGGTATGGTAGCAAAAAACCGTGCTTTTTGCAGCCCCCCACCAAAAATGAACAGAACCAACAAAAACCTTTAAATAAATAAATTAAAAAAAGGATCTTGGTTCTTTGCGCCCCTCTTAGCGGCCTCGAATTTTGGCTGCTCCTGGCTTTGTGCCAGTGTGCGCCAAGCCAGGGAGGTCTCCAAACCACGGTTGCCAACCTGCTAGTGGCTGTGAGGATCCAAACGCCGCTCAAAAGCGCGAAGCATGCAGGCTGGTGATGCTGATGTGGAACGTCAAAGCTGAACATCATGTCCTTCCTGGTTTATCCTGATTTACATGGTTTACAATCCCTCCCACTAAGATGGCGCCTCACAGAGGGTCCATCGGAGGGAAAACTGATCTTCCAGCTACCCTCCCACCAAACGGGGGTGGTCCAAGCACGACTGTAAACGCAATGTGGAGCCATGTTCTCTTGGTCGGTGTTCCACCTCCCTCTCCCACAAATGCTATGCTAGCGGTTGCACAAAAAAACTCTGCCCCTTGAGTTGCAAGAGCGCCCGCTGGGGTTCGCGCGAAGAAGCGATCGCCCGGGCCTGGCCGGTGGAACCCCCAAGCCATGGAGGCTCGGAGGCTCGGAGTCTCCCCAAAGGCTCGTGGGAAATGGGTGCCGGGGATTCTTTGGGGTGGTTTTACGTAATGAGGGTTTTCTTGTTGATGTCCCGTTCAAACCACCAAAAAGCAGGTAAGCTCCAAAGAAGACACGCCCAGATATCTACAAAGCTTTCGTCATGGCAACCAGTGACCCCTGTGGAAAAAGGGAAGCCTCTTCGAGGTTGGCGACTTTACTAGCGCAAAACACCCGTGCTGAAAAAATAGACAGTGGCAACCCAGCAGCCAAAAGGAGAAACAGGTTACGAACTCCGCCCAAGCCACCCATGGGTTCCGGGTAACAAAGCTCAAAGAATTGCCTGTCACGCGTGTCACAGATGGGTGTCCTTAAATAGGTTGGATCCCCAAAATGAAGGGGGTTCCCTTTAGCAAAAAAAACAAAAAAAGGATTCCCTGCAAAAAAACGACACACATATGTGAGACAGCGTTCAAAGGGACCCATACACCAGACTCCCAGCGGCACACGGGTTGGCTTCCTTGCTCCTTGCTGGCAACATTTGGGTTCGTCTCAAAATGGGGAACCTCCAAAACTCAGGTCCCTCTTTGTTGGTTTGGATTGGTGGTTTGGATTTGGATTTGAACCCTTGGTTCTTGTTGAGGGCAAATGGGAAACCACCCCCACCACTCCACCAAGCGGAGCTGAAAAACGAGCACTTTCTTATTGATCTCCCCTTCAAAAAAACAAAACACCTTCCCTCAAAATGCACAGGCCAAGCCGTTCGACGCCAGGTCCCAACCGCTGGTGTTCGCTTTCCGACGGCCTGGCGCCAACTCCAAGCCCGCTGCGGCCTTGGCAGGCGACCGGCAGAACTCAAGCCCATCTTGTTGGTCCGACTTGGCCGTAGCCGGCTTCAGCCTTCACCGACATCGCTTCAGCCTTCAAAGCCAACCTAGTTTACAGTGAATCTCTTTCTCTGGCCCATCTCCAGCCAAACATGCCCCATGTCTAACTCCCAGTAGGGAGGACACTCCAAAACCTTGCTGCCGCCAGAAATTCGCCACTTTGCCAGACGAACCATTTCCGTTCAAAACCAGCAAGGAAAAATCGAATATCGCCTCAGCACATGAAAGTGCATTTCGGAAACCAGCAACTCTTTTACACCGCCGACCGTGCGGTCGTCAGAAAACCAGGAAAGGTATGAATAAGCACAAGATGCTCTCCTTTCGCCAACAACTCCTCCAGCTGCAAAACCGGAAGCTCCCACTCCCGGTTAGTTGACACAAAGACAAGCTTTCTACCTGGATCGAACTCCAGCGTGAATGCATGGCATGGAGCACCTGAAATAATTAAAATATCCCATCAATTCTCTGGTCACACGACCACACAAACAAACAAACAAACAAACAAACAAACAAAAACAAACAAAAAGCAAGCAAGCACACAAGCAAGCAAGCAAGCAAGCAAGCAAACAAAGAAGCACACAAAAGCACGCAACCAAGCGAGCGAGCGAGCGAGCGAGCGAGCGAGCAAAGAAACAAACAAAAGCAAGAAAGCAAGCAAGCAAGCACGCAAATCTACAACAAAAAACATCTCAAAGCCAAAGTTTGGCTTCACAGCAATGCAAACATGTCAGGGATTGTGAAAGAGCCGTCTCTAGTTATGGCTGGCAACGTTGCCCGATCCAATGGAACCTCTGCAAGGGGTTCGGGCATTTCTTCCCTGCAGATGTTTGGGAAGGGGGGGAAGTTGACCCATCCTTCTTGGGGGGGTTCCTTACTGTTCATAAAGGGGGTGCCCTTTCGTCCACATGGAACCCAGAGGATCCTCTTTCAGGTTCCATGTTGGATAGTTCTGAAAATGGCGGACCCGGGCTGGTTTTTTCCTGCTGGTTTTTCGCAATCCCGATCACCAGCGTCACTTGCAGCTAGGGCTGCCTATTGGCTGTTAGCGGTTTTACGCTGGCTTCGATCCTATTGAGGGTGATTCTTGGGTTGGTTTGGGGTTCATTCTGGCTCAGCAAAGGGCTGACATCCAGGCTGCTGTTGGGTGGGGTTAAGGTTGACTTTGGGTGGGTCTGGGGTTTGCTTTGGAGCTGATTTGTGTTAGGTGTGCTACTGGTTTAGCGGTGGCTTTAGCTTTGCTTTCAGATTACGTGGGTTTTGGGCAAGTTTTGGAGGGGGGTCAACGCTCCAAAACCAATCCCAAACCAGCCCAAAGCTCACTTAACCACACCCCCAAGCAATCCTAAGGCCCCAAGACCGCTGCTCAACCCCGCTGAACAGCAGCCTGGATGTCAGCCCTTTGCCAAGCCGAAATGAACCCTAAACCAACCCCAAGACCCACCCTCCGTAAGATCTAAGCCTACAACGACCTCAACTCCCAACTGCCACCGAATCAGAGCCCGCCGCGGCCAACCAACCAACCAACTGACCGACCAAATTACCTCATCCGGTTTGACACCTCTAGGAAGCCCCCCGAAAAAAATGCCACCGTTTGTGGATCCCTGCCTCATGAGAGGGCACTTGCCGCTGGAAGAAAATGCTGGCAGCTTCCCTCAAATTGGTTGGATCGGTGTTTTTGGAGCTTCTGGGGGTGGTTTTCCATTTACCCTGTACAAGAACAAGTGGTTCACATCCAAATCCAAACCCGTTTGAATTTAAATACGTCACTCACAAGTGCAGTCCTCACAACCACTGCAAAAATAAAAACGCGCCAGACATTCCAAATCCAAACCACCGGGCTCCAAACCATCAAGCAAACGCCGGGAAAAGGAAAAATAACAAAAACTACTAAAAATTAGAAGCGCCGAGGCGCAGCTGCAGCTTGCACAGCTGCAGCCACCTGGCACAACCGGAGCTCGCCATGATTGCGCCTGTGCCTCTGATGTGGGCTGCCCGATTTCAGATCCCCCGCTAAAAGTGACCAACTTTGAGTGGGTTAAATGGAAACCACCGCTAAACACTAAAAGGCTAAAAAGCTATGGAACCGGATGGCTGGGAGCCACCAGGTGATGTGTACACACGAGGTGTTTTTTTCCCCAAAGCAAGAGACTCCTGGCAGGTCGCTTTGAACTTCTTGGCATTTAACATACTCGACCGGTCCCTGTCCGCTCCCCAAGCAGTAGACGGCCAATCCAACTGTCAGTGACTCACCTGGGAGACCTTTAAAATGGGTGGGCCCCCGATTTGTTTGGGCTAAGCCCACCAAGAAACCCGCCCATGTTTTTCCATTTGCTTTCGCTCTGGGGTTAAAACCACCAGGAATTTATGCCATTTTGAGAGACCGATTCCCATGTTCAGAAACACCCTATAATATGGTCCCACATGGGCACTGACAGGACCCTTTGCCAGACAATGTCCCTTTCAGCATGGTCCACCGCAATCGCGCCCTTCTGGCAGGTGTAAGACCACTTTCCCTAAACATGGACCCTCTCAGGGTTGGATGTTGGTGGAAGGGTAGTTCTCGTCAGATGGTGAAACCTCCCGAATCCCCCTTCTGCCCCCTTTCAGCATCGCGCCTCATCCTCCAAACCCGCAAAAGCAAAGCCCAACTGGCGTGCGAGCAAAGCAGCCATGAAGATAGGCCCACTTCTGAGTTGGACTTCATGATCGGGCCTCTGGCCCAATGATAAAACAAACCTGCGGCGAAAAATGTACGAGTCAATATACATATATGCATATATGTATAAGCAATTGCCAATAAGATCATACTCATCAACCTGCAAACAGATAGGAAACCCCTGAAAAATCCTCCGTTGCTCAAATGTGCATGTGTATATGTATATGTGATACATGTGATATATGTGCGTGCGTGTGCGTGTGCGTTGCGTACGAAAAGCAAAAGCCCGTGGAGTATCCCCCCAAAGTCCGGGAACCTGCCCCAAGGCCTTTTTAGAAAGCCACCAGCCACAGTTGCCGCTGGGGAAGAAGAATACTCTTTCTCACCGACCGATTTTGGGAGGGGCACGTAGCATCTTCCAGCTCCTCCTTCAAGCCATGGACTGGCGCTGCGGAACTCGGTGGCCCAAGAGCTTGTGTAGGCGTGTCTTTGTTCCAGGCACACCATTTTCTGGGTGGTGTTCACTGTGTTCCCTTCCAAGCCGGACCAAGCCAAAAAAGGAGTACATCAGAGAAAGACACACAGGTTTGCCGGAAGGAAAGGCCCAAACGCACAGGGGCCCATTCAATTCCCCTCTTCGTGCCGCTCCAAATGGGGGGGTCTGGAAACCACTGGGGAAACTAGCGATTTTGAGAGATGGTTTTGAGCTTGTCGGGGGGGGGGGGGGGCATTGTTTAAACGGAAGCAAAAGAAAAGAAACCAAGCATCTTTTATTTGTTCAACAGAACCCACAAGGAGACCCCATCAGCTGGTTTCAAAAGAGGACCATAAACAAAGAAATGTTGGGTCTGTCTTTTTTAAGGGCACCCCTTTGTTTGGTGGCCTTGAAACAGAAATAAAAGAACAACCACCATTTGCTTGGGGGGTCCCCTGGAAAAGACACACCTTTATGTTGGATTCAAAATGTCACCTGCAGGAAGCCAAGCTTTTTGGTTGCTCCCCAGCCACCCCACGCACAAAAAGGCGAGCAAACAGGGACTCGACTTGCCTGGTGCTGCCGGGAGAAGTCCTGCAAAAAGCCGGGCATTTCAACTTCCGAAAGAGCCAGTCGAAAAAAATAAAAAAAAAATAAAAAAAATCGGATCTGCACGTTCCCCCAAGCTGGGCTCCAAGGTCCTCTTAGTTTCCCCTTGAACTGTGCGCGAACTCCGCGCTGGCCGAACTGTTTGCCGGCTGCCAAGTCTTCACGGGCAATCTTTGGCCCATGTCACTTCAGCAACGCCTGCTGTGCCTCCGGATTCGAAAACTTTCGGCCTCCCACTTTGGCCCAAGTCAATGTCGCCAGGAAGCCCAAACCCAGGAAACACGGCAGGCACGGCAGTTTGCGACCCGCCTCAAGCGTGTTCACCGCAGCTTCGGCATGGTCGGGGATCACAGAGTTGAAGAAGTCATATTCCCGCCTCATCCCGTTGCGAAAGGTCTCAACGCACTGCTGCGGTTCAGAGACCAGAGCTTGATGCAACATGGGCTCGATGTTGGAGAAGTCGGCTGATTTGCGGCTGCCTGATAGACCTTTGATCCAATCATTGTAAGCGTTGCCGGGCCGGATGCAGGATTTCATCCGTCCACCCAGCCAATCCCATAGCACGGTGCAAGGTGCAAAGGCAATGATGGCTTGTGGTAAGGGCTCATTCTCTGCCGTGTCGCTCAGAAAATCTACATATGCCTGCCCAGAGCTAGAGCATTTGATGCTCTTGAGATCCCAGCCTTTGTTTTCTTCCGAAAGGTAAGCCACATAGGCACTGCGCGTCTGGCCAAAGTAGGTGGTCAACGTGCTGTTTGGTCCGTGCTCTTGCAGGGATCTTTCATGCAGGCCTTGAAGCACTTTGATGGCCCCTACCATATAACAGCCAATGTCTTGCGCCATGTATTGCCCGAACTGCACTGCATCCAAATCCCCGCTGCAGGCTCCCTGGATAAAAGGCGAGGCCCAAACCTCTTCAGCCAGGTCGATGGCTCCTCCCCACAGAACCTGATCGCTCAGGCCATTGGTGGAAGCCACTGAAATGACTGCAGCAAACACAACTCCCAGTGGCATGGATTCACGCCGTGCACTTGCCGTCTAAGCACAAGCTGTCGCTTTGGGACCGAAGGTGATGCGGTCAGAAAGCGGTTTGAGCCGCAAAGGTGCGACCATCCAGTTGGGACTGCAGGGCTTTTGCTGCTAACGTTGACCTCGGGCTAATTAACCGGCCTACTAATAGGGGGGGTCCCTCCAAAAGTGGTCTGAACCCCCCAAAGCAACATCAACCCGGGGCTGATTCACTCGGGGGTTCCCATTGTCCCCTTCATGTGATATCGAGCTTCCGAAAATGACTGTCTAGTGCATGGCTCCAACAGCAACGAGCTCTTCAAATCCGTTCGCACATTGTGACTGACACCAGTTGGACTCCTTGGCGTCCAGGTCAAAACTCCTGCGGAAACACCTTTCCAGTGAGAGAGGTCTGCAAAGAGCCTTGCCGGGGTTTGCTCTTTGGATAGCTGAAGCTCTACCTTAGCCTGCTCAAAGTCAGTGCCCATGGTGCCTTAGATGGGTCCCCCTCGCCAAATGATTTGGGCTGCGCATTGGGAACCCGTCACACGGATGCGAATGACTTGAGGTAAGGAAATGAAGCGCAAGACAAAAAATAGAAGGAGGGCCCTGCAAAACCAGAAAACCCATTCTGATAAAGGCAAAAGGAAACCGGTTTTTCCAATTTGTGGGGTTACCCCATGGGACATATGGGTGTGTCTTTAAAATAGGGACATCAAATAAATGCGGTGTTCCTTTTGGCTTCCCTTTAAAACCACTCCAAAAGGGGCAGTGGGTCAAACACTTGTATCCCCCTACCCCGCAGATGTCTTTTAAACATGGGCCAAACCAAAAGGGGCGCACCCTTTTCCACGACCATATGTGGGGAAGATACGATTTTCTATTGAAGCAACCTCCTGTCAGGTGCCATGGCAGCCCATCAACGTGCGGGGAGAAACCGGCTTCTCCTCCATCGCCCTGGACACCTCCCGGGCATCGCCTGCACCAAATGGGTGGGGGTTTTGGAGCGTTCGGGAGGGTCGGCGGAGTTGGGCGTGTTTTTTTACGGGTTGGGGGTTGGGGGGTGGAGGGCGGCTTGGGCTTGAACCCTTTCGGGTCTACCCTCTTTGGCCCCTCTTTTCACCCTCCTTGTGAAGTCGGGTGTGGATCCAATGGGGCCCAGAATCGTTGAAATATCATTCTATGATTTGAATAAGTTGCGGTTTTGGGGAAACCTGGCTAAATCTTGAAGGGAACCAAGAGGAGCAATTCGGATCGGGTGGAACGGGTTCGGATCTACTTCAAGGAAACTGTTTCCAATAGAGACGCGGACGTGCGACCACAAGACAGGAACTCATCGCAAAACTTCGGGGGTCGCCGAGTCCCCCACCCCTCATAGCATTGGGGCTGCGGATGCGGCCGAGTTCTAAAACTCGCCAAGTGAGGGTCCTCTCAAACCGACCCAAACCCTGCCCAGTGACCCTGGTAGACCTTTTTTGTTCGTGAAGAACCCAACAAAAATGGTGCTGAGGGTGCTTCCTGCATGACACGCGCGCGCTTCGTTCAGAGTTCCACGCTGTGCAGCTGCGTGGTTTGACCTGCCTTTCGCCTTTGACCGCCTGGGTGCGGCCCGTGCTTCACTCTGCCCCTTTGGTGTTTCAGTCTGTGTCCAATGGCGGCACTGACCCCTTCCTTGGATCCTGGTATGGAAGGGGAGGTACAGAGGGCTCATGGTCTGAGGCTATGGAGAGCTCTTGTTCGAGTTGGTGGAAGCTGGCGCATGAAGTTCGCAAGCACTTTGCAAAATTTGATCAAGAGCCATATCAAATGGCATAGCAGCCCTTCAAGTGCCTATCAGCCACCAACGTGACCCGGCCATAATGATTCTTCCCCTTGGCCCCTGCCTTGTTGGAGCTTGTTCAACCCTCCGGGAGAAACGGAACCCATGAATCAGCCTGGTGCGCTAGGGCGTGCAGCGTTTGAAAACAACCAAATCCTCTTATGGAGCGCCAGCCCTCTTTTCCACCTTTGCTTCACGGCATGAATGCGGAGCAACGTTTGGTATCTTGGCAAAACTTAGAAACAAGTCGACCAACAAGTCGACCAGTAGCCTTGACCAAACGGAGTAACCAGGACTCTTGACCAATTTCCCCTTCAACAGTTAAAGGTTCCAAAAAGGGAAATGGAGGAAACCCTGACTAATCTTGATCAAAAAGTCAAGTTTTCAACCAGTCAGCCGTCGAGTTCTCGGCCACACCCCACGCGCCCAAGACGACGCCTTCGGGGGCAGTGCGCAGCACGTGCAGCAGCACCTAGAGACCCAAGCCCCTTCCTGTGGGGACACCAGGGATTCCCTGACAAAAGCTTACCCTCCACTTTGCCCCTTGGGGGGCCTTTCCACGCCTACTTTGATACTTAGGGGGATTTCCCTATCTCTCAAAGCCCAAAACCCAATCTTCCTGAATGTTGGAAGACCCAGACGGTCCTTCCTTCCTGTCGAAAGCAGCGGGTTGCTGGCTCTCACCCGGCCTGGAAAAAAATGGCTAACCTTTCGGAGCAAAACATTGCCCCAAAGGAAAGCCGAAACATGTCCCCAAAAAAAAAACAAAATCGTCCAGTGGTGATAGATTCCGTTGAAAACCAACAGGTGGAAATATTGGTTTTCAGAAAAAATGAAAAAATCAGCAAATGGAAAGGGATGAAAGGGGCAGAGAAGTCCCAGAAAAAGAAGGCCTCAAACTCCACAAAATGTGCCGCACGGCAAGCAAGCTGGCAGTCGAGACTTGAACCAGACAAATCCCCTACTTTGCGATGGCGTTTGACGAGGAAACCAGAAGAAAACAGGCCAACTCCTTCTTGGGACCCCCCAAATCCACTTTGCCACCTGGCGAAAGAAGCCCGCATCACAAAATTGTGAGGCAAAGAACCGGCCATCGCCTTCTGACACGACCCCGCACCCTGTGGGAAAGCGAGTGGCGCCCTTGTTTTTACGTAAAGCGAAATTGCTTCAACAGCCTCCGTTGGGTCCCGTCTGAGGGCTTGGGTTTCCCCAAAGGGGACTGGCCACAAGATAAACCTCGGCCTCCAAGGCGTGAAGGCTTGAGTGACGAGCCTCATGTGAACCACAATCAAAACCCGGTATTAAAATGGTTGCCCCAGAACCATGCAAAGAATTAAGAAGGCGGATATCCGCAGCTATTTAGGGTTGGGATTGTCCATTACTAACCTTCATCTACCCAGGTTTTGATTGTGGCTCATGTGAGCCACCGTCAAAGATACTCCATGGGATTTTTTAGGCTTCGTCCTGAAGTTTCTGGGGAAATTTTAGGCCTCCCCCGTGTACCAGTAATTTTGATCCAAACCTCACGTGCTTGGTGTTCGACCAGGCTGGTGGACAGTAGCCCAGATTATGATGCACCTGCAAAAAGGTCAAACTCTACTTGGGGGACTCAAAAGTGCCGAACCATTGCTACAGGTTTGCTCCCATCATGACTAAGTTTGATCTCACAACTCTACTCTGTATAATTACTTTGGCCTTTATAATGATTTTTGCTACTTTAATACTTGGACTCAAGTAAGGCTTACTTCAAGGCTTTCCACCCGTTTCAACTTTAATTTCAACTGCACTGTAATCGAGCCAAGGCTCGGGCCGCGTGAGCGGCCCCGAAATCCCATAGGCCGCCCCCTGCCACATGCACAACAAGGGTCCACCCAGACCCCAGTCGCCATGGGAAAAAAGGGAACTCAGGGAGACTCCAATGTGCTTTTGGTACCCTCCCACAATTGACAAAAGAACCTGACCTTCGGGGGAGGTTCTGGAGCTTGAACCGTTTTTCCTTCTTTTCGGGACCGGGCCCCTGCCAGGTTCCATGTTAATTGGTGGGAGGCCTGAGCACCGGAGGCCTGAGCATGACCCCGCGCCCCGATAAGGGTGAGTTCCCTTCTTTCAGGGCTGTCCTTAACTGGGCTGCCCGATTTCAGATCCCCCGCTAAAAGCTTAACTTTTAGCGGGTCAAATGGAAACTGCCACTAAACACTAAAAGGCCAAAAAGCTAAGGGGATGGCTGGGAGCCACCAAGTTAACCGTCTGCTGTAATACCTACTTCCAGTGGACGTGTTTGAACATTGGTTTGCATTTTGGCCGACAGGCTCGAGCGGAACATCCTTAAGCTACGATTAAAGTTCCACCCCAAACTTCTCCCCACATGCGACTGGGTGCACATCAAAGCTAGGTCCTTGGCGCTTCAAAATGGCTAGGAACTCATGAGTCGGGCTCTAACATGAACAATTTGCCAAGTTGAAGGCATATCTTTGCCCAGGAAAGCTGCGTTGAATAAACAGCTGCCCAGCAAAAAGTGTAGCTTTTTCAGAAGCGCGTGCAGTTTTGTTTGGTAATGTGTTTTTTGTTTTTCTCGATAGATCAGGCTCTAAGACCTTCCTCCTGGTGACCTGGTGGGGGGTGCGCAAAAGCGTAGCGAAGAGAAGAGAATACACCGTGCCGATTGTGCCTCCTTTGGGGAACGTCACCAGCTTGCATGCTCGGACAAACTCTCGCCTGGAGTCTGCACATGCTCTTGTGGAGGGAAGGCTTCTTATGAGGAGAAGAGGCTGGCCAGCAAACCATTCCGTTTTGGCACCTTTCATCGGAAGTTTACAACCACAGACCTCCAGCCCATGGGAACCAAGGCAGAAAATTTGGGGGTGCTCAACTGTCAGCTTCTCTCTAATTGGGTAGGGTGTGGTTTCCTGTTGACCAGAACCAGGGGATCCATTCCCCAAACCCCCAGTTCTAATCACCAACTAGAGGGAGCCGAGATTGGAAGCTTCGAACAGACACACAACAAAGGATCTCGCGGAGCCGCTCGCCGGACTTGTTCCGAAGAAACCGCCGCAGTTCGGCGAGACGTTCGGGGGGCGGTCGCCCCGCATTTGCGCTACTTGCCCAGGAAGTGCGAGGCGCCGGGAACGCGGTTGTGGAAAAATGGCAGTTGCTTGTGATACCCAGGTGGTGGATCCCCGCGTCTATTTCACCATGAAAACAAGAACTTCGAGTTTCCACGACCATGCCAACTTCTACGAGGCGGACTCGGATCACGCCGCTCATTTCAGCTGGCAAAGCTGCCAGTGACCCTCAGAGCGGCGTGATCTTTTCGGGTTGCGGGTGAGACAGGCAGACCTGCTCACAGCTCTGGCCCTGGCCAGCTGGAGCACGGAAAATTGTACAGAAAACGACCTCAACCAAAAAATGATTCTGGGAATCTGGTCCCGAAAGCGTGAGATGATAAGCTACCCCCTAGCTACCCCCCACCGCCCAAACACGCGGTTGTTTTTGTCCGCTACGGGGTACATCAACTTCCCATGATCTAGTCGTTCCTCCTAAGCCTTGCCCTGTGCGACTGAAATGGCTTTGGAGAGAGACAGAGACAGGCACACTTCACGCCCCAACCCGAAGGAGGGGCCTGGAAGACTCTCTATAAGACTTTGCTCTAGGCCCGGAAAAAGATGCGGCCGCCCTTCAGCCGAACGCCGACGCATCGCGCCAACTTGCCAGTGTGGCTCGGGCCCACTGGACCTGAAGACGGACGGGATGCTCAGTCCAGTACTTAGGGTATGCCCTTTAGGGAAACCCCTTGGCAACATGTTGGACCGATTTGTTGGGGTATCTTTTTAGTGAAACCCAGCCAACACGTCTTGGCGTCCCGCAAAAACGCCAACCCCAACAAGGGCCCTCAAAATGGGACACGCCCCTTGTGGGGGTGATGCTGGTCAGGTCGGCTTGCCGCTGAGACCCGAGCTAGCTGCAAGTGCCTCAGGGCAAAGGGTCTGCAAGCCCTACCGACGGGCGATGAGCCATAGGCATTCACCCAACAGCAAGGATCCCTGTGAAAGGCTTGTTGGACATCAATCCACTGGATTTCCCGAAATCAAAAGTTGATCAAGTTACTGACGGTGTCGTGTCCAGTGAAACTGCCGCTTTGGGAGGTTCCAAAATGGGAAATGGAGGAAACTCCAACCACCTGTTTGGAGAAAACATATCCAGATTCAAGCCCGTTCAAAACCTCGCAACGCTCCGGCGGGAAAGTTGGATGTTCGACTCCGGTTCCGCTCCCCGAACTTGACAAGGGTAACGGAATCCTTCCAGAGTTGCGTGATATATCGGCAGGTTCCCATGAAGCCGAACTTAAGGAGGTTCGAAAAAGGAGCAAAATGCAGGAAGGCCCCCCTCTCGTTGGTATAAGGACCAGGTATTTTTAGGTAGCGCCATCTGCATCTGTGCCCCGTTTGCGTACAACAGGGACGCCACTTGGAACGCAAGCTGGCGCACCCCTAACTTCCGAACCAGAAAAACAATGCAAACACCAAGGGTACGGAGGCATCGACTGTCGAATGAAGCTGTCGTTGTGCAAATAAGCAACTAGGTATGTGTCAACATGAGATGGATCGCTTCTCGGTACGCCTCGGAAGACAACCAACACGCGTTGCCAACTATTTGGAGGGTCCGTAGTTGTGATGAATACCTAATTGAGAAACCCAAAAGAGAAAACATTTGGTTCTACAACCTGAATATAACGGTCTATGCAAATGCATAAGGGATTGGAACCTTTACACAATTGACTGACAGGGATTTGGGTTGCTGACAAGGTCGGCATGGTCATGGTGTCCATAATAGAAAACGTTACAACGACTTTCCAAACTCCGTAGTTCACTAAGGAACACGTCAACTGGAATGCGAAAACCGTGGGCAGACAATCACAATCACAGCTTCCTGTGCATCGAGAAGCTCGAGATCAAAGGAATGCTTTGCTGGCACCACTTGTTTTCTCCCGCAACTTGTCTTCCCTGGGCTGCCCTCAGATCCCCCGCTAAAAGTGACTAACTTTTAGCGGGTCAAATAGAAACTACCACTAAACACTAAAAGGCTGAAAAGCTAGGGAACCGGATGGCTGGGAGCCACCAAGTTCCCAAAAAGCAACCTCCACAACTGGTTCGAAGCTGTGAGCACATCGGCCACTTGGGCGCCAGCTGGCAGCACACAGCCGACGTCGTCTCCTCTCACGTTGAGGGCTGAGGGGTCCCGGGGTAACCATTGCCACTTGGCCATGGGGTCAAAACCCAAATCGTACCCCCAGCGAACATCCAAATCCAACCACTAAAATGGGAAGCCTAAAATGGGTGGTGAATTCACCTACCAACCAAAAAGGGATACCATTGGTTTTGAAAATTAAACCACCAGGGGACCGCATTTTCTAGTCCATGTTTCCACTTACCAGGGCAACCCATTTGGGGATTGCCCTATTTTCGACCACCACAGCCACTTGCCTTTGGGCCCCCGGGGACCAAAGGCGCGCGCAACGGACGGCGCTTCTTCGTCCCCGTCCTCCACCGGCTCGCACAAGGCGGGCCGCGCCACCGGGGACAAGTGCCTGACGCGCTGGCGAGTGGTTGAAGCCGACAAGTGAGTTGTGGTTGCGCCATGGACATAGCAGCGCCATTCTTTTTAGGGATGCACATATAGCAACAATCTCAGCCGGAATCAAAATGGAACCCTGGTAAGTGGAAGCATGGTAAGTGGTAGAAACCAATGCTCACCAGTGGCTTCCCTGGGAGCCCAGGGAACCCCTTCTGGCTGTGGTTGTCAAAACCGGTTTGGATCCCAGTTTGGTTGGTAGGTGAATTCACCACCCATTCCAGAACCTATTTTAGGGGGAAATGGGATGTTGACTGGGGGTACGATTTGGGTTTTGACCCATGGCCAAATGAGTTATGCGTTGGTTGTCGTTCCTTTTTGGACGGGAAATTGGCTGTTGTCGTTGCTGCTGCGGCTTCGGCGGCTGTGGTTCCTCCTTCAGCGAAGTCAAACTCCTCCAAATGGTCCAGTTCCATGCAAGGTGTAGACGTGGACTGACAAGAGGGTTGCTGACCCGGTAAACCCCAGGTACCATCAACTGGAGTGAACAAAGGCATCACGTTCCTGTCAAGCTGAACAAAAGTTCAAGCAAAATCACTAGTAAAGAACCTTCATGGGTGAGAGCTCGTTGCCTCACATGGCGCGTTCGACCAAAGAGATGTGGCAACTCAACTGCACGACGCAGGGACCCCAGCTCCGAAAGATCAATCGCTTCAGGCTGGAGAAGCCCAGAGGTGCTCCAACTCAATTCCGAGTGGCCCAAAGACCGTCTGAACTTTGAATTTGCCACCAAAATGGTCTTCCGGTCTTCCCCAAAACCTTCAAGTCCGAAACGGAACTCAGGAAGCGGCCAAGGACACGTCTGGGATGGGGGGGGCAGGTCTTTGTGGCAAAAAACGGAGCCGAGCGAGCCCGTCTCAAGGGCCGAAGTCGTGCCCTGGGCCCCCAAACCCCTCCATCGCGTGCAGGAGCCGCAAGTAGTCCGTGCGCTCCTCGGCTGGCGCTACGTGCCACAAACGCATGGCCCGTAGACAAATACAAAGTTAGCTTGGTACCCGAAATTCAAAAGGAATAGAGGTCCTTTGATCTGCTTACAGCCACGGTCAAAACAAGCAGTCACCCTTAAGGACATCAACAAATTCCCCCAAGTAAAGTTTGAATGCATCCTTTGGTTCAAAATTAGTTGAACACTGAGGGACCAAAGTTTCCCTTTCCTGACCGTAAGAGAATTGCGGTACCAACTTTCACCAGTGTAAGATATCCTGCTGCAGGCATAA